TGCACTCTGCAGTGGTACCAGGCCTCCAGAATTGTATGGCAAGTGGCAGTGCCAACTCCTAGTTCTCGCTAAGTCTAGGCAGGCCTTTACGGCCGCTGAATGTACTGTTTCAACAAGGGCTCTCACGAAGATGAATGGGTCCAATGAAAGCGAGAGCTGTGGTTATTTCTATGCAGATGCACTCTTTAGTGATCGAGGTGATCTAAACAAAAACCATGCAACCCCTTTCCATAATCAGCCAAATACCATAGTGCAACGCGCGTAATGTTGCTTGCGGGGATTTTTGGAAACGGTCTTCTGGGCGCCGCAATTTTGAGAATTTGGGCAGCGCGTACGCCGTTGGCGACAGTTACCATGTGCAAATGGGACTGTCTGAGCTTAGGTTCGCTGCCCCGATGCTAAGGTGATGTGTGATTTCTCTGCGGCGGTCTGTTTTACCATTTTTTTGGAAACAAAAATGCGTTTCCTGAGATTCCAGATAAAGCTTCAGGTGACTGGCAAGATTATGTTACGCACAAAAATGGCTGCAGGATCGTTACTAAAAAAGCTTAGAGCTTTCTTAGTGGTTCTAGATGAAAAGGTAATAAAACAGCGCAAAGAAATACGAAGGACTAGTGGAAGGAGAACACAGACAGGGCGCTGACTTACAACTGAACAATTTACTTGCGCACTGGAAGGCAAGTAAACATAAAAAGAACCACATTGACACAAAAAGGATCAACCCGATAACACACCCCTCCCCCATCATGCCGACACACGCCTATACGTACTTGGCCGACTTCCTGATAAAAGAAACCTCGTCACTCGCTAGGGCTATGAACGGAGCGCTCACATCAGGTCAAAAGGCCTCGTCAATTTCCCTGGCAGACTTGCTCTTGTGTGTCGCATGGTGGGGGAAGGGTGTTTTATAGGGTTGATTGTTTTTGTCTATTCGGTTCTTTTTATGTTTATCTGTGTGCAGTGCACAAGTTAATTTTTCGGTTGTAAGTCAGCGCTTTGTGTTTTCCTTCCACCGGTGCTTCATCACTTTTTTGCGGTGTTTTAATACCTTTTCGACATGACCAACCAACTAGCCCAACTACGCACCCTGTTGCATTTCTAAGCGATATTTATTACAGTCATGGTTCAGCAAAAGATAACTGGTGAACACTACGGTCCTTCCAGCAACGGCAGCTTGCACCTTTGCTCAAGCCTGCCGCTTGGGAGACACAGAGCAACAACGACCCACAGCGATCCAACTGAGCTTTTTTAGTTCGTTGCTGAAGGCGCGGTCCAATTTACAGACACAAATTCCCTGTATAACAATTTTGGCGGTCACGGGCAATTATTGCTATGGCGTTGTTTGTGCATCAGGTCACTCCCGCTCATTCACTTCAAGATATTGGGTACTTTTAAATATGCTCACAATGCCGCGTCACTTCGTCAAAGTGCAGTGATGGTTGTGATGGTTACGCCGCTCAGCGACGCGACTCGATGCGATTTTTGCTCACATGTTTTTTTTATACGCTTTAGTACATTGAATGCTATTAGCGACGTGCCCGACCAAAAGCGCCGCTAAGGTCAGTTTTATATGATTGGCCAAGCCACGGGCATAAGAGCATTATCAGACTGCCAGCTTCGACGATGTTAGTTCCGAAATACTATGGCTCCTAGCTTATACTGCAGTATAAGCTAGGAGCCATAGTATTTCGCTTATACTGCAGTATAAGCTAGGAGCCATAGCAGTATAAGCTAGTAGTAGTAAGCTAGGAGCCATAGCTTAAGAAGCACATGTGCTTCTTAAGCACAATATTGAACTTGCCGTCGCAACTTATAGTAAGTAGCCAGGGTAGCAACTTTACTGAAACGTTTATTTAGTGAACTATACCCTGGCCTGTTGAGTCTCATATGGCATACTGAAGGGGAAGGGGAGTTTAGAGCTGACGATGGGTACGATGTATCATTCAGTCCCGGATGACCAGAGGTAGGAGGTGATTGATAAAAATACTAGTGTTCGGTCAGCAGGCACTGACGTCCTCGGGTTAGTACATTTTTGTAGGGTCGTCGGTCGGAGGGGCGGTGGTAGACTGTTGATCGCCGCCACCCGTTCGTGAGATGTCCCCGGACAGAACCATAGCAGGTGATAGCAAGTCGCGGGGAAGCCACAGTGCGTGCAATTCGGTTCAGGACTTGTGTCCTGCTGGTCCGTTGGCCTGCGGAACCTGGCACGCCAAATGGGGGTCACCATGCAGCGACTCTGTAGACTGTGCAGGACCAATTGCTCACATCGTGGAAGTTCTCGTGGGATTGGGGGGGGGGGGGGGGGGGGGGGGGGGGGCGTTGGAAGGTAGGAGCGCGAAGAAACGTTCTTTCCGGGCTTTCTCTTTCTTCTTTTTCAGCTCCTTTAGGTTAAAGACTGCGCCATTCACGTGCATTTGCATTTCTTCTATCATCTGTTTTAGTTTCAACTTTATCAAGTGCGTTTATCTTGCATCTACGCAGCGCAGCAAACCTTCAAAATAATTGTAAAAGCCTGGAGGCAATGATAAATTGCGTTTCTGGCTGCAGGTTGCCGTAAAAACACATTTGTTTGTAGGATTCACTTTGTAGAATTCGCTTGTAGGATTCACGACGGGGACGACGGTCCATTGATGGCTCCATCGCCTCAAGCCCGGTTCGCCACGCAGTTCATCACACAGCCACCTTACTACGTCTTTCGAGAGGCGATAGTGTGGTTAAAAATCAACGTCGTCCATGTCAAGCACATTGGCGTGGCTTAAATAGCTACGCCGGCGGCGAAACACGAACAAATACGCTGCCATTTGGAACGCTTCTCCCTCATCTCGCGCCCAACTCGCCCTAACTCGCCTAGGTAGGAGCCGGCAAGCTATTCCTATCCGCGGCGGCTTTCGCCACATTATAATGACGACACAGCATCTCGCCGCGAGTTCTAAATATGCCACTCTCCGACCGCCTCAAACCCTCCGTTCTGAAGTCACGATCTAGGGAGTGACGGCGCGTGTCGTCATGTACGGCGCCGACCAATCGCGACGGGTGGCGAGTTCGGCGGAGAATTCGCCTTGATGCCGAGCTTAGCCCCCCAGGAATGCACGCGATGATGATCGTCTGTCGGGCACCTGGCTCGTGTGAGGAAGCAGTTGAAATAGACCCTTTTCAAAAGTCAGAGTCCTCTTGTGGCTGTATAAAAAGCTCCATTATTGCCGCTCTAATGGCGGTGATAGGAGATCATGCGCGGCTAAATCAAACACCCTCGATTCCGTGCATCGAAGGTGACGTGAAAGGACCAACATCTTTTCTTTTTTCTGCTCTATGCTTTCGAAGACGTTCGATTTTTCTGGTGTGGAGAAACAGTGTAGTTCCGCCATTAGAGCGTCGGGTCTGGCTCTGCACAAGGTGGGTAGACTGACTTTCGTAAAGGGTCTATTGGAAGCCTGCCAAAGCCAACTTCACGAGCATTCTGCACGCACTTGAACGCATGGCGAACCAGTCGGGACCACATGCTTGTAAATGTGCATACACGCGGACGTTTTGAGGCTATGCAGTCACAGCTATTGGCGCACGTGTGTGTACGCACCTTCAGCGGCGCCCATGACGGCTGTGCGCGCGCGCTCTATACTTATTTTCAAAGTGCCTTAGAAAGTTGTTTTTGAGTTTGTTTTGTCTTTTAGAGAATGAAAAATGCGCAAAGCCGGAGCGTCCCTGAATGCTGAGATGCATTCTGGGAAACGGCTGTCCAAGAGTTTCCCTTTCCCTTCACTGTACAGCGACCACCCGCGGACACCGTGAATCTCTTCCTCACACTCGATCGCGGCGTACCTCTTCGTAGTCTTGGTGGATTTCTCCAGGTGTGGACGGGGTGCGGTAAGCATGTTTTTCTTTTCCTGGGTTTATCAGGCGTTGAGCTACTCAAAGACAAAAAAAAAAAAACCGTATTACAATAGCCACAGTGAAAGAAGGATTCTGAATGGCAGATAAACTCAGCGTATTGTCAAAAACCGAAGCTAATTTTGGTGTTGGCCGTCCTCAAAGTGCATCGAAGTCGAAAACGAGCACACGCACAGAGTTGATGCGAAAAGCGGCGTATGCCGATCGGCGGTGATTTAGGCTTCGTTGTGGCGACGTCGTCTATTTTCGCTTTGAAACTTTAACCGTCTAATAAGGTCACGATAAGAAAGGTAGGCATTCTGCACCACTTGCACATGCCGATTAATCCACGAAAGCTATGGCAGGGTACGCGAATGCTAGGGGGATCGGTGGCCAATTGTGCTAGTCCACACCAGATCAGAGAACGTGGAGCGAAAGCTCGCGCGCAGAACCCAGGGATCCTGGTTTCAATCCCAAACCCTGCCCGTTTCGATCTGGATGAGCATCGTACCGGCGTGCGGTCGTGTATCACTACTGCGTGGTGCACGTTAAAGACCCCAGGCTAGCGGTTCTACTGCACTGGCTAAATTACGCATCTACAGGGAGTGACTCGTCGCAACTTGGAAATGGCTGACCAACCACACGCTGTATAAATATCCACACAACACCAATTATTTATTACGCGTACGCTACGGTGACATGTTAGGTACGATACGATATGACGCCGCGATACGACTGTTGAAACAAAAACTGAGCTCTTCGTTGACATTCGTTTTTTAGATCGCCCTTCAGCTGCTAGGGTCGCTCCGGCGTTGCACATTGTAAGTATCTTGATAAAATTCGCACATCGGGCCCATTTCCCGTTATCTTAGGGAGTGACATATTCAATGGGCGAGCCTCACGAAGAAACAAAGAAAAAGAGTGCGCGACTTGTCAGTGAAAACAAAACTAGAGTAACGAGGCACGGTGCAAATACAAAGCTTTATTTCTTTTGAGAAATTACCATTTGTTTTTGGCATTTGTGCGTTACACCGGATAAGATTTCGTGCGATTGCCATATAAACTCTCTTTGATTCTGTAGTTCACGGCAGCTGCACGCGGCAAAAGATGGAGGTTTATAACCGTACTTTGTTTATTCAATTATTTGGCAAATAAAGACATCTGTTATTCGGACTTGCTGGACATGGACCTGAAAAAGTAAATAATCATGTCAACGTAATTGCAAAGATATCGCACCTAAAAAAAAGAAGCAGAAATAATCGTTACAACTAGAAATAATTGTCTTATGTTTTACATTGGCAATATCTTTAGTATTAGAAATAAACAAACATAGACTTCGGAGTAAAATTGTTTGTTTTAATGCTGATATACTTTAAAGCTATAGTAGGCAATCCCGATTGGGCCGCAGTTACACAGCGGTGCCAACTGTAATTGAGTCGCTAACGACAGCTGAACAACTGAGCTCGCCTACACCAGTTAACTGAACTGAATTCCGCTCAGTTCAAGGTGGCAGATTCTGCGCCCTCGCCAACGAAGGCCAGCGTTAGCGACTTTCTTACTCTTTCGGAATGCAGGGGATGTATTCAGACAGATTCGGAATAGCGGGGATTGTAGAAGGAGGCATGTTCAGGGGTCGAAGTTGCCTTTATCATAGGGTGACTCTAAGTCCTGTTTTGGTCGCGACAGTCCCATTGTAGAGGCTCATTCCTGTCGTCTTTTCATTTTGTCCCAATGAAGTTTCGTGAGCCGTTTTATGGGAATGTGTACAGTTGCAAATTGAGTACTAGGTGAGTGGAAGAAAACCGACGAAAGTTTACTTGTTACAGACGTTTTTTTCATAAACATGTAAACATACTATGAAAATGGTAGCTTCCACACCGGTACAGTTTTGAGCTCTTGTTGCTGTTAACTTTGTTGATATGTTTAGTTTGCACAGACGCCTGTACGTGAGAGGGGTAGGAACAATGGTACGGGAAGAAATGAATGGTTCCAGAAAAAAATAATACTTTAAACACTACAATGTTTGCCACACTTGTTTTTTTTTGTTTTTTTTTGCCGCGCGAGCGATGTTGCTGTTTGGAAATCACATGCGAAATCGCACTATGTTTTGAGGCAGATGTGAAAAATAAATGATCGAAACACGCAATAAATTGAATAAAAAAATTTCCAAATTCGGTTTATGGGGACTGGTATTTATTATTTATGTGACAAATCACATTACCATGAAAGCAATGGCTTAGACCTCCACTGCCCGTCAGCTTTCGTTCACAAGAAATAGAAGCAGAGCTTTCCTTTCGCACTGTCCTCCTCCCCCCCCCCCCCCCCCCCCCCTTCTCCCTGCTTTGTTTTCTACACTGAGGATTATGGTCACCCTACTACTTCATACCGATCCTGACAGGTCGCGGAACCCAGCGCGACCACGGCAACCTAATTACATTAGCTCACTTATGCCCGACTCCCACTAGAGCGGCAAACAGAAACAAACAACAGCGACAGCCTCAAACTAGAATATTTCTTGATTTCACAGGCTTTAGAGAATAAAGGAGGCTATGCTCAAACACGAGCATCCTGCGCGCGAGGGCATTTTTTGGCAGGCTTGCTATCACTCGTGCTTACTTCACGAGCACCGAACGACTGAACGCCTCGCGAAGGCACTAGCGGGGAATAAGGAAATACGAAGAGAGGAGGGCGTGGCTCGTGCAAGCAGAGTCTGTCAACAGTTCCGCTCCCCCTCTGCCCCCACGGCACGCCTCCCATCTTTCAACGCGCCCACTACGCATTCTTTAATGAAACTTTTAAGTCACGGCTAGAGTCTAAGTAGGTCGAGCGACCATTTTCCAACTACATTATGTACCAGGAAAAAAAAGTGAAGTAAAACATTTAAGTTCATTAGCTAACTAATTAACCAATTTATCCTTTTTTCTAGTTTTACCCATGATCTCTAGTTTAGACAAAGCGACATATTAACTCTTTGGCATCGTCCCACAAAAAATTATGGACCCTCTTGAGAAAACACCGTTTATAGTGATTCCATTCAGAGTCTCACATAGAACGTTTAATTCTGTTCTGTAAAAAAAAAAAGAAAAATAATAATAATAATAAATGCATTTTGGAGTTAACTACCAGCAAAAATTGTTTAGAAAAGTCCTACCTATGTGTGGCCCTGGGAACATTTTGGCAGCCTCAGAGTGACAGGCATGACTTCACCAAGAGTAGAGCAAAATATTCGCAGCTTTCTGAGGCTTCTAACAAGATACATAGCCATGAAACATCTACGTTTCTTGGCTAAGAGGCTCATTCGCCTCTTGGAGGATCTTTTTCAAGTTCCTCCTAATATAACTCTGACTAGTTCTATGTTTAGCTTGAAGCTCTATGCCCGATGGCTTTCATGGAAATTCTTTCAGAACTTTAATTTTTGCCGTAGGTTAACTGTGGCGGCTATAAAACTCATCAAAAGAATAAAACTGACATGCAGTGGGTATTGTTGACACCGCTATTCATTATATTATAATATTTTCAAGCTACAAAAAGAAAAAAGAAAAGAAATTAAAGCTTTTTTTTTTTTACCTCCGTAAAGCTGACTGAAACATCGATTTTTTCCTGTCCAAAACAAAAACTAAAATCGCTCTAGCAACGACCCTATCTCCTGCGCACGACAACTCCCCAATCCTAGTCTACAATATATATATATATATAAAGAGACTCAGCAATCACCTGTGAGGCACGGGCAGAGAGAAGAATAGGTGCCACCCTTGACTTGGTCCTCTGAGCACTGCTGTCCGGGTCTCCCTTTAGGTTCACAGGTGGACCGAGCACCATCATTATTCTCTGTTAGTAAGCAGCACAAGCCGCTCCGGCAACTCCTGTAAGGGCCACACGGTTCACCCTTTCCTCCAGGAGAGGGAGTAGGCCTGGTAAAAGGGCCGGGTAAGACCGGTTTCTGGTCCTGAAAAACGTAACACGTGAGACCGATACGTATGAGGTTTAGAGTATCCTAGGAAAGATTTCTGCATAAGAATATATTAAAATGGAATGTGTTATACATATATAGCTGACTCCTGCCTACACTTATTCTAACACATTCCAGTTACAGAAGAGGGTCACACAAGTGCGACATCAGCGTTCTGCTGGGATTCGCATCTTCCTGGCCGAACGGGAGCCCCAGTCGAACGCTGACTCAACATTCGCGTATAATGTGTGCCCGAGCTGGTCTCCGGCACGTGACGAGCAAAAAAAAAAAGTAAACAAAAAAACAAATTGCAAACGAGCACCCAAGGTGCGCTGTGATCGACGGCTGTTTCTGCTGCGTTGTGGAACGGCATGTTGATAGAGATATGCCCTCAGACAGTGTGCTGCAAAGTGATTGATACGGGTTCTTTCTAGGGTTGGGCGTCGATTAAAGACGTTCAGCCTTTCCACTCTCGTGAATAAAGAAGACCAGCGGAGCTGTACTCGATACACTGTGTGCTTCTTCTTCGTCGTCGTCTGTTTTTCGCGCTGTTTCCTACGATAAATTCCCTCCAACGGTGCTCAACTATCCATTCTTATATTGGAGCTGGAAAGGTTGGCGCCATCTACGAGCGACGGCGGAAACCATACTCGTTGTGTGCTTGCCGCTGTCGCCTATAGATGGCGGTAGCTGTCCAGGTAGGCTTGTGTCGACATACCGGACACGATCCTGGGGAACCTAGCCCTTCACAGCTCCGCTGTAAAATTTTAGCCCGATTAATAGCCGAATTTTAATCGTATAACTAATCAATTAATCGGTCTCGTTTATTTAATGCATAGCGTATTTTTAGCAGTCAAAATGACATATTTTTAGCTTCTGCTCAATGTGTAATAAACAGCGAAAAATTCAATTTCGATTATGAATCAATTGCGATACGTAGTTGAGAGCACTTCAAAGACACTCACACTTACAGGGTATTACTTCAGCTGCATGAAACAGAGAGGTACCTTTATATTTTCCGCAGGAGTGGTTTTCTTTCATTGTTCACAATTGTCCCTGCAGCCCTCAACGGACGACGTCGAAGTGGCCCGGACAAGTGAAACCTTCTGCACTTGTCTGGAGTTACAAATCTCTCCATTGCAGTTCACTTTAGGTTAAAATTTCACCTAAAGTTTTCCCTTCATATAAGGGTACTCGTGCATGTTTGCGCGGTGAAAGCATTTAATATTTATTTTCATATTTGGGTTGTCGAAATTTTACCGATTAACCGGTTAAAAATATTAATCGCGATTCAAGCATTAAACGCACCATCGGTAGGTTAATCGATCAATCGCCCAGCCCCAGTTCTTTCCTTTCAATGTAATTGTTATAGATGACGTGTGTGAGGAGATATGCGCTTTGCTGCAACGACTGTGCAAGATGTTGCATGTGTTGGAGGACACAGGGACGAACTTTTTTATTTGACTGAAACGCCCTTTCAAAAGCAGCACACCCGCGACTGCAACTGCGGCAGAGGTGAAAGTACGTATACACGACTGAAAGAAAAAAGAAGAATCCAGTGTCCGATTACAACTGAAAATAGAATGCCATTTGGTCAGGGTTAGTATTGACGTTCCCTGGCTATTGCTAATCATTGAACAACGTTTTAATTGCTGCAAGTGTTCCTACATTTTCATTTCTTCCTGTATCAATAGCGTTGAATCGGTATGAGATTTGTGCTGTTCGCGTTCGCGATTTCACTTAAATCCGATTTCAAGGACCCTTGCCGGTAGTTTGTTCAACGAATGGTTTTGGAGGCTTAGCTTTACGCGCAATTATTATCGAAGATGTCGTCGCAGAGCCTGTTCCGACCGTTTATGAGCCATTGTACCCCCCGCAGTGCAGAAGACCTCCGGTACGCCTCTTTCGGCTTTGAACCCCGCCACCCTACTCATGGGAACGCATTCAAGCCAAGTTTTCTCGCCCTATACTGAGCGCCTGACTCTGCTGCCATAGTGTTGCTTTGTTCTATATATCTTTTTCCTTTTCTGACGTCGCGTCTTTCTCGCCCTATTGGCCGCTTACTGCTCTGCGCAGTCTGATGTCCTCACATGTACGTCGTCTCTTGACAAAGTCGAGCCTCTGTGCAAAACTGGCGTAACATATTCAATAAACTTCCTAGTATAGTAACTCCAAATGTATCTTTGACATATATATATATATATATATATATATATATATATATAATACAGGTGGTGATCGAGAGGCAACATACATATGAACACAAGCGGAGTTTCAGACTGTCTATTGACTCTAAAAATTGCGTACGTCGAAGTTCGGGCCAACCACTTGGATAATCAATGATTGAATAGTCCTTTTTTACGTCGCAAAATATCTCGGTTACGTAGTTTCTACAATTTTTTTAATCCTAACGTTTTAACCAGGGAGTTATACCTTAACTCCTAATGCATTTCTGCGCGAGTTGATCATAATTTTACAGTCGGCATACCTCATTATCAAACTTCATACCAAGAACGTCCTCTGATTGGAACCGCCTTGGAATACCTCTGGTAGAGAAACACATTAAAAGACCTTTCCAAGAAAGGGCTCCTGGACTGTTCCATTTGAAGTGTCCGTGCGTATGGCGAGTGATTTGCTCGCTTTCCGAAGCAACGAACATGCCCGTGCTGGGTTGAGGAGATCGCACGCTGGGCGAGGACTTGTAGATATTAGAATTATGTATAGACCGATTTCACTAAATGTTCCACTCATGGGTGATGCCGCCATAACTGTAGTTCACAGGGGGTAGACGACTGTGCACGGGACAGCCCGCACCTGTTCGTGGTCTTCTCCTGCCGACCCGGAGCAGGGTTGTCGCGCGTGCAGCAAGAATACAGTTTCCACGATGCATGTCGGCAGCGGTGACGTAACAAAACTGAGTGAAGATATCGGTCTATTGAACTATTTGAAGAGGCGTTAACGTTAACCATCTTTGCTAACACGTCGGACTAATATTTTGCTAACAGAATTGATTAGTTTGTATTCTAATTACGGTAATCCTTTCGATATGAATTTGAGTGTCCTCCTGCTCTATACTGAACTATGAACCCTGAGCTTATTTAACCCTTTTATGGTCACCGACGTACCTGTACACCACCGCGGGAGCGTCCCGCATGGTTGCTGACGTACCGGTACGTCCGTGACTGCTCATTCAAAAATTCGCGCCTCTGCTTGAACGGGCGCGTTCGCGGGGACGTGCTGCCATCTGGTAGGTTTGTAGGGAACTACGAGCATGTAACTCCGGTCGTGTTTGTTTTGGCGCGGCTTTTTGAAATTGCGAAACTGGACGCTCTGTGCAAGTGATACCTTCGGGATGACCGCGCGTGCTGGCTGCTCCGGGGGCAGCGTAGTGGAGATGGGAGCGATGGCTCTTCGGGGTCAGACTTTGAACCCTTCTCGGTCTCCGAGTCGGATGACAGCTCGACATCCGACGAACAACTAGAAACCAGCTCGGTTCGGAGTCCGGAGTCTGACACACAGCCGCACCGTCTGCTAGACCGTCTTGGAAGCGGGCGCGTCAAAGTTTTAGTCCTTTTTGTTTTGTTCAGCCTCCTGCGAGTGAGCCACAGATATTTTGAAGTGTGTGTACTGTTTATTTTAAGTCTTAGATTTTTTTATGCGACAATAAACTAGCGTATACTCTTTGCTATTGCACCGAGTGAAAAATCCCGACCACGAAGGCGCGTCTTTGGACCAAAAATGCGACCATGAAAGGGTTAAATAAATAAAAAAGATAAATAAATATATCACTAAGACCTAATTAACTAAAATAAAAGACCGAAAGAAATTCACCCAAACTCGATCAAGTTTACTCTGTGACGCTGCGCCAACGCACGTTAACGAGATGCTTATTGTTGCAATGCAGACAACAATTTTAGGTTACCACGTCCTTTTAGCCTCCTCATCATATCAGCTTCCTCTATGGATAGTTGTGACTGTCTCAAATAGTCTTCTGTTGCAAGCAATGTAGGCGTATAATTATTCTCAAATGCGGTAATTATTCGTCATCTCGCTTCCAAGCGTCACCAACGTCTTTTCAGTGGCAAGCTACCATACTGGGCGACGAAAACTCGCACCTACCTGAGATGAAATCACATCGGCCAGCAGAGAGGACACGACAAAGGTCAAAGCGAGCGCTGCTAAATCGGTCTTCATTGCAATGTTTTTTTCTTGCTGAATTACTCGCGACGCACACGAACCGGCTAACATGAAATCAATCCCTGTCCCATTTTATAAGTCGAGCTTCTTCCCTCTTTCCCACTCATGACATTTCTTTGAAAACGTGTATGATCTTTTTGTATGACGTTTACTTGATAGTTTTTAACATTAGTTTGCGGCATAATTACATTTACAAATTATTTCTTTTGCAACGCTGTCTTCAGTGATTCGGGGAATCAAAGAATCAATCGTCAGTGTTAAAAAAAAAACAAAAAAAAAACATTATTTTGCAGACTGTTTTTTTTTCTGTTCCGCCCACTCACTGGCACTGGAATGAAATAGCAGTGTACAAGATGAATATATATCTAATTCAAACTTATGCTTTAGCTACAGGGATTCGGACAAAATGGCCCTGGACGAAATGGCTCCCATCAAAATAGCCCCGGACATAATGGTCCTAAGCGTAAACCCGGGCAAGATACGGTCCCAGGTAATTGTTTCGGCAGAGTTTGCTTGCTCTTCGGAGGATAGTCGATTGTTAGGACTTGATGCACATTGAAAGTAGAGAAAATAAAAGGTTATGTGAATGCATGTTAACGGTTCCGTCCAACGATATTCGCTTGGGTAGTGTTTCACTTTACACGAGCTTACTGGCACTAGTGGGAACCAAGCATATACTCGCACGAAACGCCACTCACCAAGAAACTTCTTCGTTGCGGTGTATTTTCGTGGAAAAAAGCGAGCGTTTTTTTTATGTCTATTTCGGAAGATTTGATAACGTAGTTGAAGGGTTGCAGTACGTCCTAGTGACGATATTTAAATGCGAATCATAAATTAGACCCGACCATTGTGTGAGCACTCGATCATGATAATCGATAGCTTGAGAGGCATTCAGGTAGTGGCCCGTGTCTAACTGCTGCAATGACGACAAGAGCTGAACCCTAACAATGTCTAGGACTCAGCGCGCGTCCTGTGATTTGCCAACCGCAGCGCGTGGCTATAATCAGCATTGTCGGCGTGTAATTGGCTCCAGATCACGTGGTAGCTTGTTGTGACTGCGAGTTGAGGGGTGAAAGCAGCTCGTTGTTACAGCGAAGCTGTGTATGGCTAGGGCTCCTTGGGTTTTTCGTGCGCGTGACAGAAACTCTACGCTTTTACCACCGCACGCGCCGCACGCGCAGGCTTTCCTCATACAAAAGATCCGAAGTAATTTACCAATATAAGCGTTGACGAACGCGCATGAAAGATGCCATTTGATCAAGCATTTGCTTTAGAACACAGACTGTTGCAGACTCCGGCACATGCCGCGCGTGGAACACCATTCCCTGCATTCTCCATGATGCTTGGGTAATTTAGCATTAGGTCTATTCAGTAGATTAATTAGGTTACTCAGAGATTTACCGCTGTGCGACCTTGAGTCTTTTTACAAGTACCGCCAACCATTGTTGTGGAAACGCGCAAGACGCGTGCAACAAGCGGGTTCTCCGCCGCTTGTTGCACGTGCCGCGTTTCCACAAGCCCATCTCCAAGTATGCGCTGGTGTATGCCCGAAGGCATCCAACTGATCAACAAACGATGGTCCATAGCAGACGTGCCGGCGTACACGAATAAAATTAGAATAGAAATGTATAACGAGCTTGCACTTTTTAATATATTTAATAAATATCAAAAAGCAAATATCAAGATTCTGAATTAGAAACTCAATCGAAGGCGAAAATAGGAGGTTATCGCACACGGCCGGTGGAAGAAATCAACAACAAAAACAAAGTCGCAAACGGCCCTCAAAATGTCCGGGATGAGTCTGTCAGACGAACTGGCGGAAAGAGAGTAAAAACTAAGCCAAGCAAGGTAAAGCAAAATACGCGATAGTTCGAACTTCAAGTAAAGAAAAGGGGAAAAAAGCGAAAACAAAACAAAACAGCAACATAAAAACTGGAGGAAGAAAGAAGACAGCGGCCTAACGTAGCCTAACAAAAAAAAAAAATTGGTTTTGAAAACTGGAAGGAGTTGCTAGGCGGTCCAACGGGTCGTATAGAAGGCGCAGAAGACGTTAGTCATCCTGGCGCTAACAATCGGAATTTGTGAACCGTATAGACGCTTTCAGCACGCGCCAGACTGAGCCGCCATAGCCGACCTTCTCTTGTCTTACCAAGATGTCGAGCCACTGAAGCGGGCGTTGACAAGCCTTCACAAAGGACTATGCTCGGGAGAAGGACACAGTAACACTTAAAATGGCAATAACCTGTCCTGCTGTGGTAATGATGAAGTGGAGCTAACGGAATAAGAGGGAACAAAAACTGAAGGTCGGTTATGGCGGCGCCCATGCACAGCGACCTGAAAGCGTCTATATAACATGGCCGAAATCACCTTTATTTGCACTACTACGCGCTCCTCTTTTTCTCTTTGGGACGCGCGAGAAGTCTGCTTTTTGTTTTTTTAACTCCGCTTTTATACGCCTCGCAAGTGGGCTCATTTTCGTCTTCTGCGCATGAGAAAGGAAGTAGCGGTGACGTCAGAACGCCAAGTCCTGATTGGCTGATCGCGGCCCCCTATCTGAGCGTCGTCTGCTCCTTTGCAACGTCGTCTGCGTCTGTCTCACCTTTCCTGCGACATTCGGAAGTGCAAGTCTTTACGAGCGAGCTCGACTTGGCCTTTAGAGAGGGCAGACGAAATAACTCGAGCGGTACGTTGTTTTTGTCTAGCAACTAGCAGACGCGCATCAAGGAGGGAAGTCAAAGGACTCACTGGCGACGTGTCCCGAGGCGCGGAGGTTTGTTTGCTAAGAACCGAGAGTGAGCGTCTTAGTGCCCGCAAGTTCCCTCCCAAATACTTTTTCCCTCCTTTCGTGTGCGGCGAGACCCCTCATTCTTTAACGGCGTCGGCGGGTTGGCGCAGTTAACGTTGTCTGCTTTCCGTCTGCTAGTCAAAGCGATGGCTGCTTTTTCCTTTCTTGCGTCTGTCGGAGATTCACCGCTTTTTCACCGGCGAGAGTCACCGTTGCCTCGGGAAACAAGGAGATAACACGAGGAAGACATTGACCTCTTAAGCTAAAATTGAGGTCAGCGATCAAAGTATAATACGGGAAGGGTTCACAAGGGTCGCGCGGGCATATTCCATTCAGCACGCCAGCCGGTCGTGGGCAGACGGTCGCCGAGTGCCTTCTAGGCCTAACTGCCGTGCTCGCTTGGTCGCGTTCGGTGCAATCGTGGCCGTTGGAGCTTTCCCCGAGTGTTTGTGGATCCAGCGTTCTTGTTCGTCGTGGTCTGTTTCAAGTACGTTTTACTTTTTTCTTGCTGCTTGAAGTCGGGACGCGTGAGAAGCGCACGTAGAAAAATAAACGTCCGTGGGTCGTCGCGACCGCGACGCTGTCGGCCATGCTGATTTCATTGTAAGAAGTGCGTAAGACAGCTTCGGAGCTGTCGTACGATTTCGTCGTAACCTGCGCAAAACTTACAAAAATTTCGTTCTGTGAATACGAATTTTTTCTTAAGTTTTGTCTTACGCACATATTTGGCGTACGCACATTTTTGGCGTGAGGTCGTTTCGTGAATCTGGCTTCTGCACTTCCGAAAGCCGCAGGAAAGGTGAGACAGACGCAGACGACGTTGGGAGCAGACGACGTTGCCAAGGAGCAGACGACGCTCAGATAGGGGGTCGCGATCAGCCAATCAGGGCTCGGCGTTCTGACGTCACCGCTACCCCCTGCGCGAGAAGCAGTCGAACTTGCCCTCCGCATAAATTTCAGGGTAATAGCGTCAGGTTTACGTGTGCACAATCGACTTCTTCCAGAACAAATTGACATCGCAGTAACGTACCTGGTTCGAAATTGCCTTTTGCTTCTTCCTCCGGAGACGACCTTAACGGGATTAGCCAGCGCGCCTAATGGACCAAACGGTTATAAGCAAGACGCTCAGGAGAAATGGGAATTGCAATAACGAAACAAATTGACTGATAAGAACAATAAAGGTGAAACATAGCTATGTCCTGAAATTTCCGTACAATGCCCTTAAAAATTGTTTTTAAAAAAGCAGCGCGCAGGTACTTTCTGTTTTGTCTGGCTTACGTAAGTTGTGACAGAGTAGACAGTTTTAGTGGATCGTACGCTAAAGCCTTGCGTACGCAATAAAATTGCGGGTCGTGAGTGCGCTTGCGCAGAACGCAATAGAAGGGCTAGCGTATTGCGTACGCACGCAAAGCTGGGGATTTTGCGAGGCGGGCTAGCGGGCTTTGCGGGACGCTCTCGAGCGATCTCGGACCCAACCAGAGCGCCAGTTTCAAGATGGTGGTTACCTCGACTGGCGCAGCAAGGGCGACGTGGTGTTTTTGAAGTTCTGTGTTACGTGAAATTGCGTGGTGTTCAGCTCGGCAGTTCTTTCTGGGACCTACCGCGGTCAAATCAGATCGTCGTGCAGCTGAAGGAGTGCACAGTGAAAATGTTCGCCGCTCGGAATATGCGTCAACGCTGCGATCTGCTCAACGCTAAGCCTATTCGCACAGTTCATCGCCGACGGACGAGCGACTCTAAAAGAAATCGCCGAAGATCTCGCTATGCACTGGATATCAGGGTCATGAATTTCATTCCGCGATAGCATTGATAAAAGGTGCTGTTTCAACGGGACGATTGACGGAGGCTCTGTGTTCGAATTTGGCTACGCACTCTAGTTCAGACAGTTGCGTTTGACTGCGTTTGACTGCGTTGCGGCAGCGAGAAACCAGGACATCTTTGCTACTTATATCGTGTGCTAAGATGATTCTTTTAATTGGATTGCACGCTTCATACGAAGCACAGATGTGCCGGTGACTCGCTTTCGGTTCTCAATGCAACGCAGTCAAACGCACTCAAACGCAAGTGTCTGAACCGGCCTTTACTCGTAGCCTCTGTACCCCGCAAAAAAGCACGCTTGACGAGGCAGCTGTGGCTTGGTATAATTTGAAATAAAATTATTGGACACGGTTTCATTTTCAATCTTTCTTTCCAGGAGCATGGTTGGGCGATA